TGTATGGACTTCTATAAGGGAGGGGAACAGATTCCCAAGCAATTTTTAACTGCAACTTCCATTAGGCATGCCTATGACAGATAATGTTTAAGAGTTTATTCAATCAGTACTCCAAGACATATGGAGGTCCAAAGTTTCAAACCCATGATAAATTTGCATTTTACTCTTAGTTTTTGGAATATATATATATATATAACAATGGTGATCATTAAAGTAATAATTGCTACTGGCTAATGTAAAAAATATAGATCGGGTCAATGAGAAGGGCATTTTGAAAACCAATATTTGTTTTGGAATATTTAATAAAACCAATGTAAACAAGGGAGGAAAAGAAACATGTAAGTCTCATTTGTAGGAGTATATTGTTTTTATGGTGCAAGTCCCAACTTCAAACTCTGACTTCTGTTGAAAGAGAAGTAAAAGCCCTTTGCCTGAGAACCTGAAAAGTGCTGCCAGTAAAAATAGACATTATTGGATGTTATGGACTAATGGTTTGATCTGGTATCATCCAGCTGCCTGTAGATGTTAAGTTTAAAACATTTTAAAGCAATAATTGTATAAAGCTATGAATAAAACTCTGTGTTTCTTAACTGTTAGTAGAGGAACATTTCCTCCAGAAAGTGACTTCACATATATGTTAGGATTCTTCTGGATACATAAGATCCTTTAATAGATTTTGATTACATAAAATCTGCATGAATGTCTTAGTGACTTGTAAACAGGAAATCAAATTACCTATCTGTATGGCTATATGAAGGAGATCTGATGCTACATTAGTCTGAGGCCAAGGGAGACAAGGAAGAACCCATGAATATTTCATGCCTCCTTTCCTTTAAAAAGCAGCAATAACTTACAGTTCTCCTTCTATTGCATTTTTTTTTACAAAGATTCAAACATGGAATCCCGTTTTCCTATGTGGGAAAAATAAATCAAGCATTGCCAGGAATTTTTTTTTTAATTATCAGAAATTTTTGAAATTTAGTTGATAAAAAAGCTGGAAAAGCCCATTTTATTAGCTGATTAGACTTGTTGTTGCTTGGTATTTAATATATTGTTATGTGGTCATTTTGATACAGCGGGAGTAAAGAATTTACAAAAGTTTACCAGTGGTCATATTGAATAGCCTGAGATTAATCATCATGTTCGATTATGCTTTCATAATCATATGCCAAAGGCTGTCTCCATTGTTTACATTTTATCATAACCATACTTTTCTACAAAGTAGGAAAGTTGTAATCTTAAAACATCATGTTATGCCATTATTTTTTATTGAATAGAATTCATTTAGTATGTAAGGTCCATAAGATCCTCTATTTTGAGAGGAGTCTCTGCCACTTTGTGACCGGAAAGCAGTCTAGTTCTGCCTTGCAAAATTTCTCTTGGAGGCCTTGCTTATTAGCATACTGGAAATGCTCTGGTGATGTTCTCATTTTATGCTTATTATATGGTTATGCAAATCTGTTTGTTCATTATTGAAAGACTCAATTGAAAACATTAATCTGATTTTGAGTAAAGCATTAGATGTCAAGTTAAAATTTCTTCTATGCGGCTGCTGCTTCACTGTAAAAAAAGCACTTTTCTTGCTTTACTGCAACAGCAAAGCAAAAACTCATGCTTTTAAAGTAAGGGAAAAGTCAAATAATATCTTCAGTCAAAGTAGGATTTGTGAAAATAGTGAACTTGGCAATACAAATAGATATTATTAATTGAAAAAATAAGCAAATAACACCTACAGTTAGGTAATAACTGGGATGACATAAAGTATGCAAGACTTTTGGTTCTCTGGCACTCATCAGGCATAGTGGGACAGTGAGTAGGCAGGGAAAGAAACAAAGGAATCCCATAATAAGGGGCCATAAGAAGATATTGGTCATACATAAACAAAACCAACCTGACAAAAGCACTTTGGAAATTTCTGAGTTGCATCCAAAAGCAGGTCCGCACAGAGCTCATACTGGCAATCCAAACAGATGTAACTGGGACTAGTGGCTAGATTTGACATCTCAACAAATAAGTGCAGCTTGTTGTTCATTCGTTCAGTTGTTTCCGACTCTTTGTGACCTCATGGACCAGCCCACGCCAGAGCTCCCTGTCGGCCGTCACCATCCCCAGCTCCTTCAAGGTCAGTCCAGTCACTTCAAGGATGCCATCCATCCATCTTGCCCTTGGTCGGCCCCTCTTCCTTTTACCTTCCACCTTCCCCAGCATAATTGTCTTCTCTAGGCTTTCCTGTCTCCTCATGATGTGGCCAAAGTACTTCAACTTTGTCTCTAGTATCCTTCCCTCCAATGAGCAGCCAGGCTTTATTTTCTGGAGGATGGACTGGTTGGATATTCCAAGGCACTTCACGGTTTCGCTCATGACATCATTGAGGTGCTCAAGCTCCAGCGCCACGACAAGGCGGTGATCCTTTGCTGGAGTAAGTGCAGCTAGCACAGTAATTTTAACTGTGTAAAGGCACCCCTGTCCACTGCTGAATGTGAGTTTTTGGGCTCATGGCTGAATCCAGAAGTATGCTCAAGCTAGTGACTATTTCTGGGCATAACCTGATTCATCTTTTGGTAACACCTCTATTTTGCCTGAATTAACCTTCAATATGTTTGCCGCCATTCATTCCATTGCTAAACATATTGATTTAGTGCCAAAATGAAATCTGCCCATGTGAAGCAGATATATATATCACTATACGGAAAATGTAGAATAATCACAGGCTGTCATAAACCTACACTTGTTGATAGACTCTATAAGCTAGCTGGCATCCCCCCCCCCCCCCCCCCCGCCATGTGCAATGGGAAAATGCTGCCAATTGCAAGAGAAATAAGGTTGAACACTGTGAAAGTCGCCCACTGCATGGATATCAGCCTCCTTCCAGTAGACTTAAATCAAGGAAAAGTTAAATGAGAACCGCCACTCCTCTAAATGTTCCTCCAGCAGCAGCAAGAACATCTCTGTGGCCAGCAAAATCAGGCAATTCCAACTGGATGGCTCCCCATGAGGATCTGCCTCCAAGGACAAACTGAGAATGGGTAACTTGGAAGTCCTTGAACAGACTTAGAAGTGGAGTTGGGAGATCAAAAGACAACCTGGCAAAATGGCACTGGCACTGCCTATAAGAATCCTCCACCTTGTGTGATTGTGGAGCAGAACAAACAACTCAGCATCTGTATGCTTGGCCACAATGCCCTACCTCATGAATAGCAGGACCCTGAGTTTTGACACCTACCACTAAAGGCACTTAAAGTTGGGCCCTTCCTACTTTCCTACTTTTCTATCTTCTTTTATTATTCCCCCACTTTCGATGTACTTTATAAAACTTAATAAAGATTTAAAAAAAAAAAAGTTGGGCCCTTCCACACAGCTGAATGAAATCCCATGTTGTCTTATTTGAACTGGGATATCAGAGTCCATACTGCCCTATATCCCAATTCAAAGCAGATATTGTGGGATTTTCTGCCTTGATAATTCTGAGTGATATAGCTGTGTGGCAGGACTGAGTTTTAACACCCTATCACTGAAGGCACTTAAAGTTGGGCCCTTTAGCACAACTGGATAAAATCCCACATTATCTGTTTTGAACTGGGATACTATACTGCATATATTGCTGCTCAAAGCACATATTGTGGGTTATTCAGCCTTGAGATTCTGCATGATATAGCTGTTTGGCAGGACCCTGAGTTTTGACACCCTACCACTGAAGGCACTTAACGTTGAGCCTTTCTTTAGGCCTTATATCCCAGATTTTCTGCTTAAAACCAGATTATGAGTCCATAGTGCCAGATAATCTGGGATAATCACAAAATTAGGGACCATATCCTGGGACATTGGGCCTATCTGGGGCCCTTTCCACACAGAAGAATAAAATCCCACATGATCTGCTTTGAACTGGGATATATGGCAGTGCGGACTCAGATAACCCAGTTCAAAGTAAAATGATAAAGGGTCTGAAGAACAAGCCCTATGAGGAGCGGCTTAAGGAGCTGGGCATGTTTAGCCTGAAGAAGAGAAGGCTGAGAGGGGATATGATAGCCATGTATAAATATGTGAGAGGAAGCCACAGGGAGGAGGGAGCAAGCTTGTTTTCTGCTTCCCTGGAGACTAGGACGCGGAACAATGGCTTCAAACTGCAGGAGAGGAGATTCCATCTGAACATGAGGAAGAACTTCCTGACTGTGAGAGCCGTTCAGCAGTGGAAATCTCTGCCCCGGAGTGTGGTGGAGGCTCCTTCTTTGGAAGCTTTTAAACAGGGGCTGGATGGCCATCTGTCAGGGGTGATTTGAATGCAACATTCCTGCTTCTTGGCAGGGGGTTGGACTGGATGGCCCATGAGGTCTCTTCCAACTCTTTGATTCTATGAAAGTAGATATTGTAGGATTTCCTGTCCTGATGTTCTGGTTTCTATGGCTGGGTGGAAGGCCTTGGAGTCCACATTGCCATATATTCCAATTCAAAGTAGATATTGTAGGATTTCCTGTCCTGATGTTCTGGGTTCTATGGCTGGGTGGAAGGCCTTCGAGTCCACATTGCCATATATTCCAGTTCAAAGCTGATAATGTGGGATTGTATTCAGCTGTATGGAAGGGGCCTCAGATATTCCAGTTCAAAGCAGACATTGTGGATTATTCTGCCTTGATATTCTGGGTTCCATGGCTGTGTGGAAAGGCCATAACAAAAAATAAATAAACCTTGAAAGAGACCACTAGCACGCCCATGCAGGAGAGAAAGTGGGATTTCTGACTGGAGCCTCCTTTCGCCTGCGTTTTCTGAGGCGAGGACACAACGCGAAAGGCAGGCTCCCCGCGCATGCGCACAGCCAGCCAAGAGACGTTCCACGCGGGCAACCCTTCCCCCGCCCTTTCCTAACAGCCGAATTAGCCGCCAGCGCGACAGTCCGGGGAACTCTATGGCGGAAGTGGGGAGGGCGCTCTCGCCGAGCTGGCTTCCGGTAGCGTGTGAGAGGCGGCTTGGCGGGGGAAGGGAGGGGCGGGGAAGGGAAGGGAAGGGGCGCTGTGGTCGGGGCGGAGGCGGGGCCGAGGCCGAGGCCTCCTCTGCGCCGGGCGCCACCTGGGCCTCCCCCGAAAGGCCTCTCCCCCGCGGAAAGAACTTCGTGAAGGAGGAAAAGGAGGAGAGGAGGAGGAGGAGGGACCATGGCTGACGGCGCCGCCTCGACCCTCGCCGAGTCCGGCTGGTGAGGGAGGGAAGCGCCGCAGAGGAGAGGAGGGAGGGGGTTGCTTTGCGTTCTCCCTTTCGGCGCCCTTTTGTATATATGGCCGCCTCCCTTTGTAGACGGAGCAGCCTTGGCTCGCTCAGCAGAGGCCCTCAAACCACCCTTCCCTTGGCATTGGCCCTCTCGCCTGCATCACAACTGTGGTGGTTGTCCTAAAGTTGGGAAATTTACACAGGCCGGGTCTCCCCTCTGCACTGAGATAGTGACACTAGGGGTTCCCAACGCCAGTGAGCACAGGCCTCGTTACAATGACAGCATTATTTTACAGCGGTGTATACAATTACACTTGTGTGTATGGGAAACATCTAAGGCTTTCGCGTGTAGACTTGGGCCTCCTCTCCAAAATATCGCGGTATCTTTAATCTCGTGGTGCAATAGTACAATGACAATAAAGCTATTCTATATAGGAATGTTCGTATATGGGATTAACATAACTCAAAAACCACTGGACGAATTGACACCAAATTTGGGGACAATACACCTAACAACCCAATGAGTGACCATCACTCATAAAAGCACTGAAAAACACAGCAGAAGAGAATTAAAAAACCAAAACACAGAAAATGCATTACAACGCATGCGCAAAACCACATATATACACAAGCACACATATCTACAATACACCGAACAACCCAATGAGTGACCATCACTCATAAAAGCTCCCGGTGACGCAGTGGGTTAAACCCCTGTACCGGCAGGACTGAAGACCGACAGGTTGCAGGTTCGAATCTGGGGAGAGGCGGATGAGCTCCCTCTATCAGCTCCAGTTCCTCATGCAGGGACATGAGAGAAGCCTCCAACAAGGATGATAAACATATCATCCGGGCGTCCCCTGGGCAACATCCTTGCAGACGGCCAATTCTCTCACACCAGAAGTGACTTGCAGTGTCTCAAGTCGCTCCTGACAAAAAAATAAAAACTCATAAAAGCACTGAAAAACACAGAAGGGACTTAATAAGCCAATAAATAAATAAAATAAAATAACACATTACAATGCATGCACAAAACCACATATACACAAATATATACACACACACATATACACACACAGATCACATATACATAGACTGGGCCACAGTAACACGTAGCAGGGGGTGGCTAGTATTACTAATAATATTACAGTATAGTGGTATAGTACAATACAGTAATATATAATATTAATATTGTACTATTCTAATAATATATTGTATGTACATATAACTTGTAAGCCACTCTGAGTCTCTTTTGGAGTGAGAAGGGCAGCATGTAAATGTCGTAAATAAAATAAATATATGCAAAGATATATATCCTAAATTCTAAAACACTTCTGTAATCCCTTTTTGTTTTGTTTTGTAATCCTTTTAATTTCAGCACATGTTTTAACTGTTACATATTTTTGCCTATCAGTGACACCCTTCTGAATTTTATTAATATTTATTATTGTGTGAGTTTAATGTTTGATTTGGTTTTATGTTTATTATTAGCTACAGTATGGTCTTGGTTATCCAACATAAATGGGTCGGCAGAATGATTTTACAAATTAAGCATCAAAACATCTTGTTTTACAACAAATGGACAGAAAAAGCAATTCAATACACGGTAATGTTATGTAGTAATTACTGTATTTACAAATTTAGCACCGAAACATTGCAATGTATTGAAACAGTTGTGGATCTGGGCGGGAGGCAGACGGTGTTGGATAATACAGAACGTTGAATCAGCAAAGGTTGGATAAGCAAGACACTACTGTATATTGTGTTCTTCTGTTGTAAGCCGTCCCGTGATATAAATAATGTTGTTGCTGTTGTTGTTATTATTCTGTTACCTAGAGTTTTTGAGAAGGGATACTCAGCGTCTCACTACACTTGAGCATTTTCCCCACTTTAGTCCACTTTAAATCCAGTTTCTGCCTCCTGCAGAACTCTGGATCTTGTAGTTTAGGGCAACCCAGGGCTTCTTTGGCTGAGCAGTTTAAAGGCCCCTCTCTAAACTACAAATCCCAGAATTCTGCAGGAGGCAGTCACAGCATATAAAAACGCTAAAGTGTTATAAGGTCCTGAGTATCCCTTCTCCAAAACCCTTGGGAACAACAATAATAACAACTCTATTCTTATACCGCACCACCATCTCCCCAAAGGGACTCAGGACAGCTTACATATGGCTAAAAATGCCTACAAAACAAAAGAAAAGCAGTCCATTAAAGCAAAACCACAATTAAAATAAGAGCATAGTAAAATATATCAAGATAAAAACAAATAAAAAAAGAATATAAAACATAAAACTGAAATGTTTTGGATTTTAGGATAGTTAGATTTGCATATAAAATAGCTTTATTGTTATTGGGCCCTTCCAGACAGGCTCTGTATCCCAGGATCTGATCCAAGTTTTTCCGTTTATCCCAGATTATTTGGCAGTGTGGACTCATATAATCCAGTTTAAAGCAGAAAACCTGGCATCAGATCCTGAGATATAGGTCCTGTCTGGAAGGGCCCATTGTACTATTGCACAAGGAATTTAATTGTAGTGCCAGAATCTTTTGTTTGATTCCTGAAGCAGACTGTCTAAGCAAAATATACATTTACATAGCAATACCAGTATATGTGACTTTCTGTTGACAGTGCAACGGGAACACAGACATGCCTGTCTCTTAAGGAATTTGCAACCTAAATTTTGGGCACAACAGAGTAAGGGAAGGGAGAGCATAATGTCTTCAACTAACATATGCAGATGAAGCAACCACATGATTGCTGACCATACCCAGTTTGTGTTTCAGGCCTCTGTTCAAAAGAGTGGGAAAGTGAGGTTTGGGAGGCAGGGAAAGGTTAGAAAGGGGAGTTGCTTTGTGATTATGGTAAGTGCCTCATCACACTAGAGCAGTAGTTCCCAAACCTTTTTTGACCAGGGATCGCTCTCCAACATTCGTACCAAAAGGATTATGAATCGGTTTTTGGTAAACTTTAGATTCAGTGTGGTTATTTGGGGTACCGATTCAGAAAATTGCCTTGGATAGACCACATCAGCCCTAGTTTCTGATACAGATCACATGCCATCCAGTAGTTGCCATCTGCTCACCCACAGAAAACTGTATTTAATAAGCCTCAGCACTATAAGGTTTTGTGAGACAAGTCATTTTCGTTGCAACAGTGTAGTAACGGTGAGGTCGTGGACCATATTTTAGTTCTCGTGGACCACTGGTGGTCCACAGATCACAGGTTGGGAACCACTGCACTACATACAGCATGGATCCACTTTAAATCCAGTTGCTGCCTCCTGCAAAATTCTGGGGTTTGCGGCTTAGTGAGGCCCAATACCTGTCTGGCTGAGCTGTTGAAAGGCCCTTCCCTAAATCACAAGCCCAGAATTCTGCAGGAGGCAGTAAACAGATTTAAAGTGGATCCATTCTCTGGGTGATGAGGATCCTAAGTTGTATTAGCAATGTAGCAGACTCTGTGGACTCTTGTGCCCTTCATAACGCTTGAGAATCTTTTCCATACAGTATCTTAGGATGGATCTACACTGCTATAGAATCCAGTTTCTGAATCCAGATTATCTGTTTTGAACTGGATTATATTTGTCTACACTGCCATATTCAGTTCGAAGCAGATAATTTGGACTCAGAAACTGGATTGCCTTGTAGATAGAGCCTTAACCCTCTTAAAAGTAAGACTTGTTCAGGGCCTCTTTTCTAGTTTGACAATAGGTAGTACATAGGTGTTTACTTACCAAGTTCTAATTGATTGAATTGATTTACTCTAGTCGGGAGTAATAATTGCATGTAACATTTCAGGGCTTCAAGTAAAAAAAAAGGCTTCGAGACTTTAAAAATATAAATATTATTACAAATATTAGATATAATATAAATATTATTACAAACATTCTATATACTGCTCTGCAGCAATTCTGTGTAGCAGGGACAGTTATGCCATCTCTATGTTGCACATGTGAGAGCTGAGGGTGAGAAAGGAGAGATCTGTTTAAAGGCATCTAATGAATTTGTGATGTACGCAAATTTTGCATTACCTTTTTTCTTGATTTGCATCTTTTTTTTGTAGCTCCTATACTTGCTCTCAGCTATAGATTTCTGGTGCTAATAAACACACTGTTACTTACAGGCAACACCTGAATATAATCTTTTAATTGGCTAAACAATCTTCTTTTGACTAACTTGTCCGGTTATTATTTGCCAATAATTCTGTATTGATGTAACCATACATTTACCCCCCTCGGTGGGTGAAGTAGATAGAAGTTGACTTTCCTTGGTCAGAATGCATAGCTTCTATGTCAAGCATGAGAAAACTTCAGATGTTTTGGATTTCAACTCCTAGAAATCCCAGCCAATTTACCAGCTGTTCGAAATTGTTGGAGTTGAAGTCCGAAACACCTGGAGGGCCCATGCCTGTCCCATATTGATGGTATAAATGGGCCACTGAGTGAAGAAGACATAGAACCTTCCATTTCACTTTTACTTATGTACGCTCTGCTTCTCTTAAATCTATTTTTCACAAGCAAAGCCTCTTTTTGAGTAAAAGTAAATCAGAGAATTTGTAGATAGCAAAAAGGCTACTGTATAAGTCAAAACTGATACATTGTTTCATGTAGTTCTTTATTAAATAGATATGCTTAAGAGAAAGTTGTAAACTTTTTTTAAGTCTTAGTTTCCAAGATCAGCAGATTGCTTGAAAGGGGGTGAAGCACTAAGTAGCACCTCAGGGAGATTTTAATGCTCTTCCTAGGCCAATCTCCTCAATCTGCCAGTTGGAAATGCAGTATTAACCAAGAGGGAATAAACCTGTTTAGAACTGGAGCAAAAACTGATCCGTTCCAAATCAACCGTATAGTTTGTTTTTTCCCCTGGAAGTTGTATTTAGTAGGGCTGGGCGGTTTCGTTCGTTAATTTCGTAATTCGTTATTAATTCATATTTAAATTAGCTTATGATCCGATATCGAGCCATGCAGAAGCAATTAAAATTGAAACAAATTTT